ACGTCCTCAAATGGATGAAGGAAGCCGAAGTCGCCCAAGGCCACTTCTGGTGTGGCAACTCAACCATCGAAGCCAAACGCAGAGGCTGCGCCTTCAACAAGCTGCACAACAGATGGATGCCACCAGCCTGCACGCAAGACTTCGAGCACGCCCTACAAGCCGTCTTTGAAGCACTCGGCGGTGGCGAGGAGCCGAAATTCGTATTCTACAGGGACGAGGACGGTAAACCAGGGACGGAGATAACAGACGACGAGCTGGATGAGTTTGAGATTTTGACGCCGGCTTGGACCACTGTCGGGCACCATATGACGCACTGCATGTATCTTTTGCTGCAGGCTGCTGCGGCGCAGAATTTGGGTACGAAGGCGGATATGGTTGTTCATGCGTGGGAGCATGCGAAGCATTGTACCATGGTTGTGCTGAATGAGACGAAAAAGGCGCCGGCTTGGAATGATGTGAAGAGTTTTGGGCATACGCAGTCTGGTGTTTGTTGGTAGTTACCTAAGTCGTCAGAGGAAGGCGCGCTCGAGAACATCCTCACCTTTCATAGAATATACCTAGGCGAATAGGCAAGCCCGTACCTTCCAGATGTTGCCGCGAGAAGCCTATATCCCCCCCTCAATCGCAATTTCGTCACCACAACCAACAGACGCCCGTCTAGGCCGACGGGTCAGGTCAAACTGGGATGGGTGGGGGAGTGGTATATGGTCAATAACAAATCCCAGCATGTGCACCAAGTGAAGTAGCCCCCAGTTCAACACCGGAGGGGGGGGTGAACTCTTTTCTTCTTCTTTCTGACTTGCACGAACCACACAGGCTTAACCTGCTCGAGAGTGGTGGTCTCTCTGGACCCTCAACATTGTGACTTACCTTGGGTTCAACTGCCTGCTTTCGATATCAAGCAGACTTCGTCTCCGAAGGCCGCAGCCGCAAAATTGTGGATTTGGCTCGCGAATATTGATTGCTGAAATGGGCACCATCATATGCCAACGGCGATGTACACATAGCGCATATATAAGCAGAACTTGCCATGCGAATCTCATGTCTCACTACCTTATCTGGTACTTTGCTCGCCCATATCCAAGATATTCGAGGTAGGCTAGTACGCCCTCAAGGAGCGCCGTCTCTTGGCACAAGTCCCCGGCACAGGCAACGACTTGCGTGAGAAGCAACTCTCCCCAACACAATCCAAATCAAAGAACCTCACGACCTCATCCGCCTGGTCAGGAATATTATGATCAATCCCATGTGCCAAAAACGCCTCGAAAAGCCCCTTCGTCCCATACACACTCTTCGTCCACCCTTCAACAGGATCATCTTCAACAACCTCCGTCGGCGTGGCTCCCGTCCCCAACACCGTAGTCCACATCTTGATCTCCTCGTAGAAATTCGTCACATTCAGCACATTATCCACGTCCCCGTGCAGAACCTGCAACTTCGGCCTCGGGCCGGCATACCCCGGATACGCAGCCTCCACGATGGAAGCCCACTCTTCCCCGGTATGCGTAATCCGCCCGCTCGCGCAGTCATCAGACCACACGGCGATACCATCAGCAGCATAACACCCAAACGGCACGCCCGCGAACGCCGAGCCAGCGGCAAAGACGTCCGGGTACGCCCCTACAAGAACATTCGTCATCATGGCGCCGGAACTCACGCCCGTGACGAAGACCCGATCCGGATCGACATTGTAATTCTGGAGCGTCCAGCGGACCATGCTCACGATACCCAAGGAATCGCCGCCGGCGTCATGGGAGAGCGTCTGCGGCGAGGAGACGTCCCAGCAGTAGTCTGCGGTGTGGGGTGTGGAGGGGTATATCGTGACGAAGCCGAGGGTATCGGCCAAGGGACGCCAAGGCTTGTAGTTGAAGGCGTCGGTCGCGTTGCCGTGGCACCAGTGCGGAAAGACGAGGAGAGGCGCGGAGGGGATGAGGGAGTCGGGGACGTAGAGGTAGAAGGAGACATTTGTGGGGTTGGGGCCAAAGTCGGTTGTGATGTGTTGGAGGGAGGCGGCGCTTGTGAGGGTTGGGAGGAGGGATGTTGCCCAGGCTAGACGGGTTCGCATTTTGGATGTATCTGGGTTAACTCTGCGTCTTGGAATTGCGATCTGGGAGAGATGCCAAGGGGAGGGCTGGTGTTCATCTTACAGTGGGATTGGAGCTGCTTCTTATGTGCTTTGGGAAGAACTACCCCGGTCACCCTTGATACCGGGCATACGGGTAGAAGAAGGGTTAGTATATGATGGCTATTCATGGTGCTTCATTTTCACTGGTTCAATTGGCATTGGAACTGATTGAGGTTGCATTTCTTGCGCGTGGTTGGCGGGGATGTTGTTGTAGAGGAGATCGTCGGTGGAGATGGACCATGGAGGTTCGTGGCTCCGTTTCCCAAAGCGGGAATGTGGAGCCGTGGTGAGCCGGTGAGCCGGGTCTCATCGGTGCGAGAAGTCCGAGAATGCGGATTATGCTCGCGATGTCTTCTTCTATGACGATCCAGACAATTAGATCAATCTGTGAAACGGTTGATCCTGGTGTTGTTAGCGGTATGAACACAAATCTCAAAGGCTCAGTATCGACGAGTTCGATAATCATCACGGGATTCACCATAATGAGATGCTGCTTGCCAAATACCCATTGATTTTGATTGACCAAGAACTCCATACGACGCAATCTCTGCCCTATTGCACAATATTATGTCAATTGTCGGCCAAGCCAAGTCTATGTGCCGTTTCTACCCCGCCATCCTCTACTCCCCATGAAGCCGACTCATCCCCTTTATTTTCTCTTGGCGAACGAAGAAGCAGTCTTCTGAACCTTTGTCGGCGGTGCCGCCTCCGCGTCGCTGTCGTCGTCCTCATCCGAATCCTCAACATCATTGTGGTCGACCTCGTCCTCGTCAATAACTTCCTCGCCCGAGCTCTCGTCCTCCGCCGCAGCAGCCTCCTCCTCATCTTCGTCATCCGAGTCGCCAACGAAGCCATTGGCAGCAGGGACCTCGTCGTCATCGTCGTCTCCCAGCAGCGCATTCCTTGCGCCGTTGGCCGTCTCGGCATCCTCTTCGCCCTCAACGTAGATGGCGCCCTCCTCCTCATCGTCCTCGTCATCCGCGTCCTCGAGCTGTCCCGCGGCGTCACCCCTACGTGGCCGTCTGTTTCTGAGCTCCATCTGCGCGTGCAACATGTCCAGCTTGCCCTTGAGGGCGAGCAGGCTCGGCAGACCGCGCGAGCGCTCGCTGAGGACCTTTTGTAGCGTGACTAACCGCTCCAGGGCCTTGGGCTGGGTCGCCAACGCGCCGCCGTGTACGATGAGCGTCCACTTGACCCAGTCCATGAGGCTGCCCGCGCGACCGGGCCGTCTGTGGAATCGGGCGGAGAGCTTGGTGAGGAGGATGCCGGCAAGGCTGCTGTCGAGGCGCTCAATCGTCTGCTTGATGCCTTCGGGCTGACTGGTCTGCAGGCAGTTCTCGAGGAGGTCGGTGTCGTCGGTCTTGAGCGCCTGGGTGAGGACGGTGCTCAGAGAGGATAGCGACACGGGCTCGAGGCCCTTTCTTGATGATTGCGAGACGAGGGCCTTGCTGATGGCGTCTTCTTGTTGCGCCAGCATGGCGGGGACGTCGATTGTGCCGCGGATCAGCTCGCCAAAGGTGGGCGACCCTGCCTCCTCCTCGTCCTCTGCGACACCGGCCTCGGCATCGGCCTTGGTTTGTGTGGTGGTTTCTTCTGTGGCGGTGCCGTTCACGGCTTCCTTTGCGTTGCCGGTCTCGACCTCGGCGCCTTCCATTTTTTCGTCTGAAACATCTTCATCGCTCTCCTCGCCGGAAGAGATCTCAATCGCTTCGTTGGTGTTGCCCTTGAGCGCGGCCTGCAGAGAGTCTGTCGCGGAGACGGCGGCTCTGCTCTCGTCAATTGTGGTCTTGGAAGCCTTGGGAGTCGACTTGACGACCGGGGCCGTGAATTTGCCGGAAGATCTCCGCCTTGAGGACATAGTGACGGGTTTTGGGGGGTATCTCGAGGGAATGGGGTGGTAAGAAAAAAAAGGTGGGAAAAGTCGTGATCTAGGACCTCTCCTCCAGCAGCGACAGACCTGCTTGAACTTTTTTTTTTCTGCCGCCAACCAATTTTTTTGCCGGCTCAATGCACACGACCGCCCGCGGGGGGGTCACGCTGACATAATGAATCGAGGTGGGGCTGTCAAGTCTCGAAGAGGTGAAAATTTCGGACTCCGGAAAGACCTTTCACCGAGAGACTCTCTGGTCGATTGCTTATGTAATTGGAGGCTCTATTCTATCCATCGCGGTCGAGATGGTGCGCACGTCACTAACACTACCTAGGTAAGCAATGGGATTAGTGTTGACTTTGAAGGGCAGTCTGTTAATAGCCCCTCGATTTCATGTTTTGTCTGGATCTAGGACTCGCGCAGTTTGTCTAGACTCGAAGCCTGGTACAGTTGACGCAAGTTCCAGGATGAGTCAAGCAAGCGGCGACGCGACAGTGCGCAAGCCAGGATCTTGTGGAAGCTATTCACAAAAGGTATGAAATGCCTCAGGCTAGAGCAACAGAGTCTGGATCGTGGACGCCGGACCATCAGAACTTGAGAAGCTCACAAGCAGACGAAAAAGGTGATTGGTGCATGGTCGCTGCTGTCCAGCTACCCTCGATCCAGAGCTTTTGCGCCGCAACGAGCGCTGGTTATTGATTGGCTGACACGGTTCTCAGAAAGGCTTGGTCCCGTCTCTCTGTGCTATGCCATATTTGTCTCATCATGATCCACCATCAGAACATGATTGGTCAAAAGCAATGCAGCTATCCCTGTCGGATGCCCTGGCAAGGGTAATCTGTCGAGCTCTGACTGGGGTCAGCGCGAATTGGCGGGTTCCTACAAATAAGAAGTGGCCCCGAATTCTGAATTTTACGCTTCTGATGCAGAAAAGTCCTGGAAAAAGTCCAAAGAAGCCTGACATTTGGTCATCTGATCTGTCACGAGACCTCCAAGAGACACAGACACCTCCGTGCGGACGTGGCTCAGAGCTTCTTTCCCGTTATTCGATTGAGGATCATTCCGGTACGTACCGATTTTGTTTCCCGTCGCATCCAACAAAGCCAATTCTTTTCTGCTTTTCTCAACTGCCACCAAACACGCCTCACCTCACTTGGAGTTGCATGATTGCATCGCGTTCAAGTCGTGTTGGGCTGTTCTCCCGGTGTTTGCACCTCCCGAAATATCATCTCCTTCCTACCGATGCGACGGACGGACCGCGTTGGCTGCCTCACATCAAGTGAGGACCTGCCACCAGTACCATTGCATACCTACCTATGGACCTTTATTGTACATTCAGAAATGAGAAACGACGTTTGCTCTTGCACAACCTACATTGATGTCGCGACTCGCCTGGCTCATTTTGCCTGGAATCTGTCGCGATGGCTGGCATTTGCTACGTTGCCAGCGTCGCGCTCCATGACTTGGCTCACTCATCACCCCACCAGCCTCACGCACCTCTTACACGATCGACAAGCTCAGCCACACCTCAGCTTGCATTACCTACTGCTGCACGCACTGCGTACTTGCACTACGATGCCGATGCTAACCATTGATGGGTGTTTAGATACTAGGAAGCAAACAATAGTTGAAGGGAAACCCAAAAGCAAAACATCACAAACACGCCTCGAACTCTCTCTAGGTGAGTTTGCATTTTATTCCGTCAGCATAATTGTTCCTCGTCCTCGACCGCCAAATCCTCAATGGTCGGTCAACAAGAGAAGACGCCTTCCCGTCTCGCATCACACATTCAATATTTCCCACGTCCCACGCGGACACGGTCCACATGGCATCCCAGGCCCCAGTCACATTTCCCAGCCTCGCGCGTTTAGGCCAGATCCGGGAGCTGAGAAAGCACCTCATTGGCTAGTGCCTCCACAACTTGCATAAATATGCATTTTATGTCACCTTGTGGCCCCCCTCCCCCCCCTGCTCCGCTCTCGTCCTCCTTCAACTGCTCTTCCAACCATTTCCTCGCAAATTCACGATCTCTTCCCTCTTTTTTTTCCCAAGTCCTTCCCGTCCTCCGTGCCTCCTCCCAACTCGGACCTCTTTCCTGCCTGACGCTTCTGGCTTCAACCACCCACCCCCCCAGTCGTCGATCACCCAGACGCACTGACCACCTTCTCCCTCACTCACTCTTTCCCTCTCTGACCTCCTTCCCCCCCCGGTCTCCTTCCCGCCTCTTTCTCGTCGTCTTGTCACCCGTGGCTTCCTGCCCAACGCTACGCCATTACTTATTTTTTTTTCTCTGCCGCTGTTTTCAGGCTGCACCCCCTTCTGAAGCAGGACCCGTCGCCCAGTCGCGAGTGCGCGCCTTCCTCCGATAAAGCCAGATAACCGGCTGTCCGGGGACCACCCTTCCCAAGCTCGTTCTTTCTCATAAATAGGACGCGCCGCCATCTCGGCCAAAAACCACTGACGTGCACGCGATTTCCTCCGCCCAGGTCCTCCACCTTCCCGTATCGCCAAAAAAGTACCTCGCACCTGGTCATTCGCGACGCGACACGGCCGGATTAACCATTTCGCCCATTTCATCGTCGCTGCAACCGACGATCGCCTCAACTTGCGACACCACCATATAATCAATTGCGCATTGTCACTCATCGTCGGCGCATTCTCGAATCTTTTCCTGGGATAGTTCGCGATATATCCGGTACCTCCATCGCCGCTGTCGGTCCTGCTTGCCTCGCGCGTGCATCCAAAAACATCGCGACGCACCTTCCAGGTTCCTCCCAAAACCGCGCCGACTCTTTCCTCCCAGCTGTTCCTGCCCCGCCACAACCCTTCACATCTCGAACCATCGACGCGATCGTCAACGCTTTGCGCGCGATAACTTAAGAGTCAAAGGATTCAGTTTGCGCGTACACCATCACCCGAGTCAGCGACACCCAGAGTACTTTCTCCGACGCTGTATAGCCCAATCCCTGTTGTGCATCCCGCCATTGCCGCAACTCGAAATACACCTGCGCGCGTCGCTACCTTCATGTTGCGTCGCGCACACTGAACCTGCCCTGCCCTTACCTCAATCACCATATGGCAGTCATGGCGTCGCCTCAATCAGAACGCGCCGTACCGGATCAGAAGCCGACCGAATCCACACCAGCGAAGGACGACAGCAAGCCCGAAACCAATGGGTGAGTAGTAGTTGCATTTGTCGCGCGATGGACTTCAGTCGCCCGTCCCGCTTGGCCTCCCACAGAGCCCAGTTGCTGACGCGTTCTCCTTCCACAGCCACGCCTCCCCTGCTGAGAAAAGCTCCGACAAGGTAGATGAGTCCGCAAAGTCACCCAAAGTTAACGGCAACGGCAAGCACGATGAGGAAGTGAAGGAGTCTTCCGATGCGAAAGCGAGTCCTGCCAAGGAGAAGGAAACAGAGAAAGAGGAACCAGCCAAAAAGTCACCTACACCGGCGGCCGACGAATCTCCTGCCAAGCCCAAGTCCGCAGAGCCTGAGCAGTCGAAGGAAAGCAAGGAAGCTAGCAAGTCACTAAGCCCACCGCCTGCTGACCTCCCCAACGACGTCGACATGGCCGACGCGCCAAAGGTTGAGAAGACGGAGAAGAAAACCGAAGAGAAAGCAGCAGAGAAGTCGACCGAAAAGGAGGCCGAGGCTTCTGAACCTGCGAAAACTGCGACCGAGACCAAGGACAAGGATGTCGAGATGAAGGAGAGCGATGACAAGGTCAACGGGGCGAAGGACGAGTCGCCGGCGGCTCCCACTGCTGCCGCTGGTCAAGAGGTAGATCTCCAACCAGCAAGCTTGTCTCAACTGGCCATTGACAATGACAAGGAAAAGGACAAGCCCTCAAAGCCTGCGGAAGAAGACGTACCCATGGCAGAGGCGCCATCAACCGTTAGCAAGGTTTCTCGCGAGAGAGAGGATGACGCCGATGTTGAGCCCGCTTCCAAGCGCGCGAAGACTGATTCGAATGATGGGGCTTCAGCTTCTGGAGCCATCGAGTCCACCGTCGAGGTTAAGCCCCAAGGCGCGCAGGACGATTTGGCCAAGGGCGAATCGGCCCTCGAAGACCTTCCTTCATGGATCGACGCTGCACGCGACCCCAAACCTCTCACATCTCACCAAACGCGAGAATTCCGCAAGGTGTTGGCAGGCGTGAAGAAGACCAAACACGGTGCCCACTTCAAGGACGCAGTTGTCAAGATGTGGCCTAGCCTTGCCGAGAGCTATGTCATGCGGGTTAACAGACCCATGGATATCGGCGAGCTGGAGCGGGGCCTGCGCGACAATAAATACAGCAGCCTGCGCCAGTTCAAGGATGATCTTGGATTGATCTACAAGAACTCGGTTGCTTTCAACGGCGTCAACAACGAAATCACGTTCGCGGCTCTCAGTGTGGTCAAGTTGACCTGGACCCGCGTTTGCGAGATTCCTTCCGACGAGCCTGCGAAGTCGAAGCCTGTGCCGAAGCCCTCCCGATACTCCGAGTCTCGAACATCAGCCCCTCCACCTCCTGTCCGGAGACAGCCTAGTATTGCTGCCGCGAGCCCGCCGGCGAAGGCTGAGGCCGAAGCATATGCCGTTCCTCCTGGCGGTGTGCCGCAAGTCCGCCGTGCCTCGACACAGAACGACTTGGATCGGCCCAAGCGCGCCATTCAGCCCACCAAGAACCGCGACCCGGACTACTCTTCCAAGACATTCAACCGGAAGAAGTTGCCAATTGAGCTTCAATTCTGCTATGAGGTGGTCAGTGAATTGATGGATACGAAGAACGCCTCGTGCAACCTCGCATTCCTGTCTCCGGTCGACCCCGTGGCTCTAGCCATCCCCACCTATTTTACCATCATCAAGCGGCCGATGGACTTTGGTACGATAATGGCCAAGCTCAAGAGCTACGACTATCCCGGTATCAAGGAGTTCCAAACAGACGTCAAGCAAGTTTTCAAGAACTGCTACAAGTTCAACCAACCTGGCCAGCCCGTCTACGAGCAAGGCCAACAGCTCGAGCAGATCTTCAGGGGCCTGTGGGCAAAGAAGGAGCAGTGGATAAATAAACACACCCCCGCCAAGCCAGTTGACGACGGCTCAAGTCGTGATAGTGAAGAGGAAGCCGAGGAAGAGGAAGAGGCGCCAGCCCCAGCAGTCGATCCCTCAGTGGCTGCGACAATCGCATTCCTGGAGAAGCGTCTTGAGCAGGAGACGAAGCAGTTGACCGACCTTTACAAGACGGCGGACATCGCTAGTGACGCTGTCATCGACCTTCAGCAGTCTCTGCTTACCACCATCCGGCAGCGTCTCATAGACGAGAAGGCCAAGCTCACGACTGCGAAGCCTGCCAAGAGCGCCACCAAGGCCAAGCCGCCAAAGCCTACCAAGTCGAAGGCGGCTAACGTCCCCACCAAGAAGGCAGCGGCGGCTCCCATCTCGAAGAAGAGCGGTGGCGGCGTGGCCAAGAAACCCAAGCAACGAAACATGAATCAAGCGGAGAAGGATGCTATCGCCAATGCTATTAACTTTCTTGAGAGTCCTCACATAGAACGTGCTATCGACATCATCAAGAAAGATACTGGTCAATCGGTAAGACAAGCTAACCTCTGTTCGTCTTGAGATGTATACTGACAATCTTCGCAGGAAAACAGCAGTGGCGAACTCGAATTGGAGATCGATCAGCTCACCAACGAGGCGCTTCACAAGCTGTGGGATTTGTGCAAAAAGACGTTGCCTGGGTTTGGGCCGGGCTTCACTGCGAATGGGCCAGCACGTGAAGCATCGCCAGTGAACAGTGCGCCGGCGAAGGCGTCAGCCAATAACAAGTCCTCCAAAAACAAGAAGAACAAGCCCATGAATGCTCAAGAGCAAGAGGCTCGCATTGCCGAGCTAGAGCGGCTTCGCCATATGTACGACGGCAAGGAACCGGGTGATCAAGAGCGACCCGGTAGCTCCGGTCGTGCGCACGAAGCTCCTGTGCATGACAATGACAGTGAATCTTCGGATTCGGAAGAGGAGTAGTGAGGCATAATGAGTAGCAGCAACTTTTTGGGTCCAAAACTTGCTAGGTGGGGTGGAGAGGACGACTGAATGCGCCTGTTACCCTAAGATGGGGAGTTTGGCGCTGTATTACTTAGCTCATTCCGACATGCCAGGGAGGGCTACCCTCGCGTGACGCGCAGCAGCATCTCGGGCGGACGCTTCCCAGACCCAATGCCTCCTGGACCTGGGTGGGGGGGCAAACCGCGGGGATAGCGATGACCGTGGACGTCGCGGAGGATTCTGCGCAAGGGACGTAGTTGATGTGTCCACCCTACAGCGAGGTTGAGAAGAGCGTTGATTTGTGGGCGTTTGTGACTGTATGCCCACTAAATAGCATCTTTTATTGAGCATACATTAAAGGAGGCTAGCCAACATTTGAGCTGTAGAATATGATGTATAATACTCTTCATCCCGTGCTGCTGATGGAAAGATGGGCTTTGACATACGTCGTGTGTGAGTCGAGTTTTCCGTGAGGGGACTGCGTGGAGTGAACTTGTTCTCTGTGGCAGTGGCATGAGTGACGACCGCCTAGTACTCCAAGCTCATTACTTCCCCCCTCTTCTTCCATCGCGACTGGGACTGCAGTCGGTGCTTGATGTGAAAGCGCGGGGAGGTCACACCAAGGCGGTTCTGGGCTAAGAGCGGATGGCCGGCCTGTTGGTGCTGAGTAACGTTGGGGCGGTGCTAGTCGATCCTGGGCGAGATATCGGATTCAGCGCTGCTGACTGAGGTGTGCCATGTTTGAGGGGTTGATGAATGTGAGATTTGGATTACTTGGATGGGTAAGTCTTGAGGAGTGGATAAGAATAAAGCGTCGCGGTGACGACAAGATGTGGAGATGAGGATGTTGAGGCTGCGAAACGAAGTTCGGCTTCAGAAGATGAGAAGATTGGAAGGGATGATCGGTAGGTCGGTAGGTCGGGTGGGGCTGCAACGGCGCGGGCTGCTGGGTGGGGACTCCACATCCGGCCGGCGATAAAGTAGAATCACAGATACCTCGACCCTTGGTCGGGAAGTGATTCTCCCTTCAGTGTTGAAGCCAAGTAGTCAAAGAATGTTTGTTGATTTTGAGGATGAAGATCTATGCGTTCTTGCTTCCTTGATAAAGATGTACGTTGAAAGATGTTCATGTAAGTACATGGGAGTAGATGATCCGTCCCTGTCTAGGTAGTGTCGCCCCCCGTCAAGATTACAATCCACGATGCCTACTCACTGACATCGTCTCGGTTCTTTACCTTTCAAAGCCCTGCCCAATTGTCCCCGACTCTGGCCTAGTTGGCTTCGTCGTGAAACAGACGTATTCTTCATCCGAAAACGGGCTCTGCGAGCAGCGAGCGCGACAATCCCGTGGGCCAGGTGACAGCGCCTCGGGCCCGGTGACTTGGCTCTCCCATCCAGTCTTCAAGGTGGAGTGATTCCAGGCTTAGCAGCCACGAGTATGGGCAGATGAGTCCTGGAGCCGGCGATCCGGTGATAAATGTGAACCCTTGCGTTTTCTCCTCAAGACCTTTTCATGGAGCACCGAGGACCAAGACCGATATCATCACAGCCACAGCCAGAGCCATCATTGCAGGCGGCGAACGAGAGGGGCTGCCTGGCTGCCCACCCATGCGACTTCCTCTGGCAGGAGCTGTCGCCGTCACTGTTGTGCTTCGGGTTACCGTTACTGTTGCGACGGAGGCTTCGGGGACTAGAGGCATGCGAGAACCGTGTGTTAGGAAATGCGGGGTTCAAGGAGATTTCAGGAAGAAAGGGTTGGTGGACTTACGTGGGTGCGTGACGCGGTACCAAGTCATGGGGAGAACGTAGAGCTCCGACATGGCGATGCAGAAGATGATTCTCCTCGCGTCGGTGCTGCCTTGCGTTTGGAGCATGGTGACTGTGTCGCAGGTGTTACTCGGTCCACTGCCATCCCGCCCCCTCTCGTTAGTACACATACTTTTGCCCATTCTTACATAACATCCATGATCTAGTAGGTGGGACAAAAGGTAAGGAAAGAATGTGGAAGAATACATACCAGTCTGCCTGTCCAGTCGGTCCAATAGCATAATTATCAAACGGCCCGCCACACGACGTCGCCATCTCGCAGTAAGGGTTTCCCCGCGGACAACACACCCCGAACCTGCCGTCCGCGGCAAAGTAGTTGCTTGACGGACAGGTTGCCGAGACCCAGTTGCCGGACTGGGAGTACCACGCGATAAAATTCGTGCGGCCGTCCGAGGACCGCGGATCGCCTTGACGGGCGCGGAGGAGCCGGTGGGATACGGCAGAGGGTTCCGGGGCCGGGGTGATGCCGAAGAGCGGGGCCTCGTAGGCGCGGTTCGGGGGTGCGGGTTCATCTCTTTTGCTGCCCGGGGTGGTGGCTGTGGTTGCGGTCGGGGTGGCTATCGCGCCGCCGAGGACGGCGTTGATGATGATGAGGAGTAGGAGGAGGAGGGATAGTGTCTGGGGAGAGGACCGGGACACTGGGTGTGAGATGTGCATCTCGAGAGCGCGCAGCGGAAGCGCTGCTGCAGCTTCATGGAGTGTTTTTCTTTCTCTCTCTCTCTCTCTCTCTCTCTCTCTCTCTCTCTCTCTCTCTCTCTCTCTCTCTCTCTCTCTCTCTCTGCTGATGAAACTTTGCGGTCTGAGGGTAGTAGGTCTGAGCTAAGAAGAGTTTTGGGAAACGGGTTGATTATTAGAGTCGCAGCGAGAAAAGTATAAGAGAGAAGGAAAACGACGTGAAGAGAAAGAAGGGTTACATTCCAGCAACGGTGGCCGACGCCCGAGACGGGCAGGACGAGAGGGAGGTGTCCTTTTTCATCTTGATAGCCTTGGTGTGAGATTTTCGGATTGTAGGGCGGGGGGTTGTCTGCGGATGAGGTCGTGCGGTGGTACACATCCCCCCACTGCCGGTTTGGACTCGAGATTCAGGAACCATATCTCTCGTGCTGCTTATGCAGTGTCAGAGAAATGGCCACGCGTGTAGGCCTGGACCAGAAGTTTAGAATGGTGGTTGAATCGTATCTGGTTCATGTGTACTGCGATGTTATGGGTTTAGAGTACGAGATTTTCGGGTGTTTGGGGGGAGATCACAGTGAGATGATGCTGAGGGAGACTGGGATACAGGGTTGGGTGACGGGCCGGCGATGCATCAAACAGAGGGTAGGTGTGTTCAGCTCCAGGCTTCGTCCGCAGATGATCTTGCAGGAGCCCGTGAGTCTTGTCAGAAATGTGGCCGTGAACCTAATACGGCGGGACGCGATCCGGTTCGTACTAGGATGATTGCGGCTAGTCTTACGGGAGTGTTCGACTGTCTGTGGGAGGCGTGAGATGGGGGAAGGACTGTGGCCATGAATAGATTTGTGGTATGCGTGAGATCCGGGAAGTTGACTGGTGAGGAGGATGGTGAGAGTAAGCGTAAGCTGGTAGGGCTGGGATTGGCTTTGGGGGTGCAGCCTTCTTCGGGGTAGAATACGATCCTTTGACGGAAATAGACTAGGATTTGTATCTAGATTCAGGCTTCAGCAGGCTCATAGTGTTGGGTGGAAGAAGCATTCACTTTTCGTTACTTGACAATCGTTTAGGCGAACCCGCCTGCGAGACGGGTTGTTCTTGAAGGTGGTAATAGAGCATTGCGTGACTCACTTGCAAGTGACTACTCGTCCCCTCATCAGCTCTCTGGTCCTTCTCAAGCTATTCAACTTCAGCTGTGTAGAACCGGAAGGCTCGATCCGTTGCCAAATCGCCCTTCACAACACTCCAGAAACATCGGATAAACATCGTTTGTACAAGAGCAGGGATGGAGGCCCGACGCGAATATCGTATCTATGGTTCCCAGTTGAAGTAAGTATTGGTTTTAAACAAGCCATGGCTATCGGTACCGCTGCCGATTCGGCGAGTCTCAAGGCCCCTGTGAATAACCACTCCCAGCCTTTGGAAGGATCAAGGAAGGCGTCCGAAGTCGAGGGCGGAAGTTCGGAAACAGGGTCGTATGGTTTTTGAACGTCGGATCAGTTCGCAGCCGTATGGCTCGAGCCGCGCGGTGGCCTACTTGAGTCAGGGCCTGCCTGGCCCCCAAGCCGGGACTCTTTGGTAGCGTAAGGAGGACCACTTGATGAGCAGTCCCTTCTGCCTACACGCACACGGGTTCGTTTTACCATGAGAATCTGGACTGAGAGATGCCTCGATATTCATATGAACCTTCGATCAGGCATCTACTCTATCTCGATCTCCACACGATCAAAATTCGAGGTAGGAGTGCCAGAAGACTCCGAGCTGCCTGGCACAAGATGAAACTACCTTTGTTACGTTGGCATATGCTCACGACACGAAGTCCCCAGTCGTAAGCCATGTGCTAAGTTGACCGCTGCCAAAGCAGGTGGGTGTTAAAAGGAGCTTCATAGATTAGCATGATTTGGCAAAAGTCGCCTTCACCCGGCAGGTATTCGTGGATTCCAATCGTAGACAGAACGCTCGGGTACGATACGCCACCAAATATCGAGATATGAGACAAACGACAGGTCAAGGCACACGTTGCTGAGGTTGAAACCGATCATTCGTCCCAACAACTGAGAAGTGTTGCAGAGAATGCAGCCCCAAAACAGAGTACTTCACCCCCGCGCAGCTCTGAATCCACCCGCTCGTCAAGAGCGCGGCAACGAAATATGTTGCTAAGGAGCGAGCCTCGCAAACTTGGAGACTAGCGAGCTCTTCGAGCGAGTATTGATTGCAAGAGATGAGAGAAAAGCGATTGAGTGACTTCACTAGTCTGGCCGAGGAATAGGAGTATGTAACCTGAGTGCCTCAAGTAAGGTAGATGATAGGGACCCCGTAACGGTGTTTGTCTCCCACCGAAGCACTTGTTTTTGGACCTTGAGTGTAAGGCGTTTCGCTGCCTCAACTTTTGATAGCAACCTTCTACAAGGATGAAGACTCTAAAAGTTTTGATGGGATTTTTTGGGCTCTATGTACTATTGACGCAATCAGAAGCTTATCATAATTCTGCCCCTGCGATCGAGATCAAGCAACATGTGAGCAACCTGCTTCCCTGTTGGCCGCGAAGTCCTTGTGGTTTTCGGGAAGCGTTGGAGATATCGAACATGACTCTTGACTAGCCTGCATGTCAATCAACCCACTCGCCTCGTGGAAATGGAAAGGTGCATTGAGTGACATCCGTTGATTCACAGAATGCCGACGTGCACTCGCTCCGGCGCCGCCGTCGCCGTGGACATACCCCCGACATCGGACATCGGCAACCCACGGCCGGAAAAGGTGGGGCCCGACTCGGAGGATTGCGAAGCGCATGTCAGCGATGCGCCCTTTCTCGCAACTACATCATCCTCAATGCAGGGTTTCTAAAAGCCTAACAGCAAGTGAACTTTGGGACTTCACAGAAAGCATCAACGCTCGTGAAACTTGTGTTGAATCGCCCATCATGAGCCTGCCATCCTTCCTACCGCCCTTCGCGGGCACCGAGATCCGGACCGTGGAGATGCACACAGCCGGAGAGCCGGCGCGCATCGTGTACGCCGGCTACCCAGACATCCCGTAAGTCTCATCTCATCTTACTGCCCATCATCACAAATGGTTGGCCAACCCCCAAAAAAGACCAAACGAATCATCCCTTTTTCCTAACCGGCGCTTCTCCCCTCCCCTCCAGCGGCACCCTCCTCGAACAGCGCTCCCTCGCCCAATCCCACCACGACCACATCCGCCGCAACATAATCTACGAACCGCGCGGCCACGCAGACATGTACGGCGCCGTCCTCCGGCCCCGCACAGAACTCGTCGACGCAGGCGAGGCGCACATGGGCGCCTTATTCCTCACGCACGAAGGCTACGGCGCAATGTGCGGGCACGCCACGCTCGCGCTCGGCAGGTTCCTCGTCGACTGCGCGGACGAGGCCGTCTTCCCGCGGCGGCGGGATCTGGTTGTCAATCAGGAAGAGAGAACGGTGGAGGTGCGGTTGCATGCGCCTGTTGGGGTGGTGAGGCTTACGGTTCCTGTTGTGAAGGTGGATGTGGATGGCGGCACGGGGGGTACGGGGGGTACGGGGGGTTGGAGGACGGATGTGGGGAGGAGGATTACGTTTCTTTCTGTGCCTACGTTTGCTACGGCTGTTGATCTCTCTGTGCCGATTCCGCGGGGTCTTGGGTGGTCGGAACTAGGTGATGCTGCAGCCGTGACGATGGACGTTGCGTTTGGCGGTGCGTTCTACGCTGTCGTGTCCGCCGCGGCTTTGGGATTCCCGGCATCTCTTTCGAAGCCGGACGTTAGCGGCCTGAGCAACGTAACGAAGAAACTCAAGCAAGCTTTCAACGCCTCTGCAGACCTCCGCGCCCGCCTCCAAGATCCGGGAGACGACAAGGAGGACGGGAGCTCGCAGTACCTTTACGGCATCATGGTCACAGACTTGGACTCCAACGACGTCCTCGCCACGACACCAGGCTGCGTAGGCGCCGAGACGGGGCTATACTTCTTTGGCAACCAGCAGATCGACCGGAGTCCGACGGGCTCGGTCGTTCAGGCGCGTGTTGCGCTGGCTGCTGCGAGGGGCGAGAGGAAGTTGGGCCAGTCGTGGACGTATCACAGTCTCGTGTCGAGGGCCGTCGGCGAGGATCGCGGGGCGTTTGTCGGGACGCCCGTGGAGGAGGTTGAGGTTGGTGGGAGGAGGGCTTGGAGGGTTGAGGTGAGTGGGCAGGCTCATTATACGGGCTCGAGTGCGTTTGTGATGGAGGAGGGTGATGAGATTGGGAGAGGGTTTTCCTTTCGGGGGGTTTGAAGGGTGAGGGCGATCTTGCATGGAGACATGATCTCAATCAACTATGTGACCGCTCATCTGTTCTTTACTTCTTTGACTTGTGTTCGAGGGTATCGCACACCCCTGATAATCGCGAAGCCACGAATTGGTCTCAGCAAAACTCACAAAAATGAATCTAGAGATGCAGCAAAAGATTATCTCGACGTTGGCCTGATTCGAACAGACGCTCCCGAAGGAACAAGATTTCTAGTCTTGCGCATTAGACCACTCTGCCACAACGCCGGAGAGATGAATCCGCTTCGAAGCGGATGTGACAGTTTAGCGAGCCCTAGGCGCTCATGTAGATGGTGGATCACGACGAGGACCAGGGTCGGACACGGATGGGTCTTGTATTAAGTGTGTTGATGGGTCTCCTGGGGAGCAAAGCAATGAAGATGCCCAAGACTCTCTTCCACGCGACCAATCCCGTAGACTCACTACGAGCTGAACATTTCTGTATTGTGGTTGAAGAATACATGTCAATTGCGTGAGGCTGAGACCCTTGCTCTCCCAGACACCTGTCCGGCTTACAGGAACCCGAGGTCATTTAGTTTAGCCGATGTCTGAACGTCTCAACGGGGAAAGTACATAATACCCCGATGAAATAATCCTTCATCTCGGTAGCGCTGTCAAGGCATAAAACACCTTCAATCGGCTTGTCAGACAGAGAGATCTTAGCGCGCGCGCGGGGAAAACCGACACTTGGCCGTGCAAGATGAGTAAACGCACATGTACGTACGTGCGTCACATCGCCTTTACTCCGCGTCAAATAGTAGCGGCATGTAATCGCAAAGGGCGTCAACAACCATCTTTGATATTATAAATCACAGCAAACCGCCTCACGTTCATCTACAGAAAAGCCAAAGACGTGAATAAAACCAAAGCTACTCTATCCTACCCCAACTGTTCTAACCTCTAGGGCACTCAACACCATAGACCAAGAAATCATGACGACCTTTGAAGGCTTCTCCCCCTTCACAGTAACAACCCAAACCTCCCCCGACGTCGTAATCCACGGCATCAAAAGCGGCGACGCCTCCTCCCCCCTCCCGCCGTTACTCCTCCTCCACGGCTTCCCACAAAGCCACCACATCTGGCACAGCGTCGCAACCGCCGTCAAGGACAGGTACACCGTCGTGGCGATCGACATCCGCGGCTACGGCAACAGCTCGAAACCAGATGGCGTAGCCTCCTATGCCAAATCCGCCATGGCTCGAGACTGCATCGCCGTCATGGACTCCCTCGGCTACAACGACCACACTCCATTCTACGTCTGCGCCCACGACCGCGGCGCAAGGGTCGCGCACAAATTATGCGTAGACAACCCGACCCGCATCAAAAAGGCAATCTTCCTAGACATTTGCCCCACGCTCGTAATGTACAAGACCACGAACCTCGACTTCGCCAAGGCATACTTCCACTGGTTCTTCCTGATTCAACCCGCCCCCCTCCCGGAAACACTCATCAACGCCGCGCCCCGCCGGTTCTTGGAACTCTTCATGGGCGGGCGGCAACTCAACAAGGGCCTAGAGATTTTCAAAGAGGCGGACTTGGAGTTTTATGCGCAGGTCATGGGGCAGCCGGAGGCCGTGAGCGCCATGTGCAACGACTACCGCGCGAGCGCGACGCTGGATCTGGAGGAGGCGGAGGAGGATTTGCGGGAGGGGAGGGTGTTGAGGACGCCGCTTGTTGTGCTTTGGGGGAGGCACGGGGTCATTGAGAAATGTTTTGATGCGGTGGGGGAGTGGAGGAAGGTTGCTGGGGAAGGGGCTGAGGTCGAGGGGAGGAGTGTTGATAGTGGGCATTATATTCCGGAGCAGGCGCCTGAGGAGGTTGTTAAGGCGATTGAGGCGTTTTTTTGTGCGAGTTTGTAGATGTCGTTGAGGTTCGGAGGAAGGCCTTCATGACGTGGGATGGGCTCTCTGGATTGGGGCAAAGGAAGAATGTACATGTTTTGGCCTTCCGTTTGGCATTCGCAGCAAGATATTACGCATAATGAACACACGAGGTGATGAAGGTTACTCGCGATGTGATCATTTTTCTTGGTGAAAGTGGCAACAGTGGTGAGAGCAATGGTAGGCCTGGCTGGCAGTGGCACACACAGTCCTATGTCCTAGCCAGGCAGTCAAATTACCTAACTGCACTCAAAGGTGTTTGTTTGCCTTTGGTTTCAACAAGGAAGACAGGCAGGCAGCTGCTAGTTCACAGTTGGTTCACACACCTGAGATGCTGGTGAGATCGAGTAGTTACATCCCTTCACCTCTGCATATCCCACAAGCTTTCTCCTCACGCTCTCTACTCACTTCTTAGTGACGAATGAACCATATGAAATGTAGACGAGATTCACAATTGTGATCATTAGAATTGGTATATATGTATAGTTATACGTTCAATGTAATGCAATAATCCCCTAGTACCTGTATAGGTAAACCGAGAAACCATGTCCCCAAACCCAGGGTTGTATCCTAGTGCTTCGCAGCGCTGTGCTTCGTAAACCACCCAAGTTGTTACACAAAAGAAATCAATCCAACTCCCCTCGCAATGCCATGGTTGTGTGTATGTTATATACAGCTCCTGCAGACTGTGTCCGCCCAGAGATTAATGTATAGGTAGTGGTCGGTGGGTGTCGATAGAAACATCGCATAGCCCTTCCTCGCCTGGGATTTGACTCGGTCCTTGTCTAGTACATGACGCTCTGCCGCCAACGCTCAATGGATTGCATCTGCCCATTATGGCCGGGCTGCATGGGCATCTGCATCTGCTGCATGGGCATGGGCATGGGCATGGGCATGGGCATGGGCATGGGCATGGGCATCGGAGCCATGCCTTGCTGCATACCCATGGGCTGCATCTGCATCGGCACACCCATGCCTCCGCCATAGGGGTGGTTCATGCCGTTCATGCCCCCCATATTGTTCATACCGCCCATGCCCCCCATGCCGCCGGCAGTGTAGCCTCCATATCCACCTAGATTCGGCTGGCTCATCTGAGCCATGCCAGGGTTTCCATATACTTGATGCTGCTGCTGCTGCTGCTGCTGCTGCTGCTGCTGCTGCTGCATAGGCTGCTGGAGAGGCCCTCCGTAATTGCTCAAGGCCATGCTGGAGCGGTTCCATCCGCCAGGTCCCATGTTGACACCCAGTCCGGCGTTCACAGGCGGCAGCCCAGGCTGTGCGAGGAGACCTCGGGCACCCGGGGCGCCTCCAGTACCTCCAGTACCTCCGGTGGCGTCGTTGAAAGCGCCATTCTTGTACCCGCCACTCCGCTGCGTGTTTGGTCCGGTAAGGGTCTGCGGCATCTGGGCGCGGACCGCAGCCATCTTGGCCTCTTGATCCCGAACCTTGCGCTTCTCCTGCTCGAGGCGGCGCTGCTCGTCCAGGGCAGGGTTGTAGGCAATCGGGTGGGAGTTGAGGACGTCGGCCAGACTGTGCTTCTTGCGCAGCGGAGGCGCTTCAGCCTCAGCTGGCATCGGCCCGCCGCTGAGCATCATCTCCTGCTCGCGCGCCTCGCGCTCGGCCTGTAGTCTCTTCCTCCGCTGGCCAAGCGTCTCCTCTCCCTCCTCCGGCTGGGCCTCCTTTTCCTTGCCCTTATCCCCGGGCTTCTTCTCATCATTATCGCCAAACTGGGCCAGGATCTCTGCGGAGAATGCTCTGCTGACAGGGCGGGCGTTGGGAAGGTTGTTGTGTTCGGCTTCATCCTTGGCCCTAAGGCGTCGCATGCGCTCACCCAGGGTCTCTCCGGCCGTGGCTTCATCCTCTGACTCCTCCTCGGGTCTCAAGTGCTCGGCAGAGGGCATCTGGTTGAGACGCATCTGACTCAGCCCAGCGTTGAGGGTAAAGTTGCTTCTCTGCTTCGCCAGTGTCCTCGGGGGTTCTAGGCCATGGAGACGCGCACGACGGGAGCTGAGAGGCTCGTTCTCTTCCAGGTCACGACGCTCCATCAAACCCATAGGTCGGTTCTTCTCAGCCACATGCGGGTTGCCGGCATACAAGACGCCAAGAGGAACTTCGTCTTCGTCAGAGCTGCCGTCTTCCTCTTTGGCGCCGTCGACTTCCCAGGCAAGCGCAATCTTCTTCTTCTCACGATGCCTCTTCTGTGTCTCGGCAACCGCGTCGAGCTCGATAAGGGTGGCGTGCATGCCGTTCTGCCCAACATTACGGTTCGGGTTCTGGGTGCGCATCTTGGCGTGGTACTTGCGTAACTGCAGCTCGGCGAGGAGGGTCGTGGGAGGCCCATCGAGGACTCCTGCAAACTCGTCGACCTCCTCTTCTTCCTCTTCCTCATCAGAGCCCTCGCCTTCGGCCTTTTCTCTATCCTCGCCGTCGACGTGATCAGAGAGAGCCTGGCTCTCCTCCCTGCTGCCGGCCATGGAATTCTTCCTAGATCCATTGTCGGAATTCTTGCTGAATGGCATGAGGCCGCCCTTCCTCTTCTGCGACGCGGCCCGAACATGCTCTTCGGGGAGCAAGACTGTAGCGGTAGACTTGCGGTTCTTCTTCTTCTTCGTCTTCTTCTTGTCGGGGCCGTACGTTTCATCGCCCAGTTTTCCTGCAAAGGCGTGGTCGGTAAAGGCACTGACCGGGGCATTGGCAGACGCATCAAGAATGCTGTCGAGCGTCGCCATGGCGGAGCCTCCCTTGACCTCAATCTGCGGTGTTGTCGACGGCAAGTCGAAAAAGGCGCTCGCGCGCAGTTGTGGTGGCAGGTTGGAAGCCCTTGGCATTTTGGACTTGCGGCGTTGCGTTGGCGGGGGATCCTCTGGCATGTGTTCGGGTTCATCACCGCCACCAACAGCAGCAGTACCATCACCCGACAATAAGGCGTCACCCTGTTCGGATGGCACATGGGAATCGATGACGGCAGGTTCTTTGAGTGAGGCGTCACCCGAGCGCTGTCCCTCCATGTCGTCTCCAAGGGAGGTCATGCCGTGACCGGCAAGCGGATCGGGCAGCCACATCTTGGATTCGCGGACCTGAGACGCTTCGGGATCCTGGGGCAGGTACTTGGCCTGGCCGAAACCGGGATGGCCCATGGCTTGAAGCACCTTGGAGTGCCTCGCATTCCGGACCTCAGTCTTGGGCTTCCTGGAGAGCTTGGGCGGCAAGTTGAGCATGGCAGGCACGCGAGCAGGGTAGTAGAGCATCTCTTGACCGGTGAGCTCGTCAAAGTAGGATTGTGGCCGGATGGTGTTCCTGTTGTTTCGTGGCATACGAGGCGGCGGTGCTTCGTATTGAGGCTCTGGACTATCTGGCATCGGCATGGTGTGCGGGATGGACATGGGCGCGTCACCGTATTCGCTCTGCTCGAGGTCTTCCGGCTGGCAGTGCACGCCGTCAAAGTCCCCAAAGGCATTGGTGTGGTCAAACGTCGAGGTCGATCTCGATCTCGATCTCGATCTCGGCGTGGGCGGCCTGTCGTCAGAGTCTCGCCTGCCGCTGTCTCCGCCAAAGTCCAGGCCAAGGCCTCCAGAATGCTGGTCCATCTCGCCAAGCAGGTTGAAGACACTGCCGCGGTTCTCTTCGTTGGTATTGAGACGGCGGATAGTCGCGTCGTCGTCGGCTGTCACAGGGATAGGCGCGTGATCGGCTTCATCGAGGACACGTCCAGTCAGGGCAACGGGCTCCGACTCGGCAATCTCAGCAAGGGAAGGCTTTCCGGAGCGGGCGCTCCTGGTAGACCCCTTGCCGGAACCGTGTCGTGACATGATGGCATCGACATCGATTTCGGGGCGACCTCGAGAGTTGTTGGAGCCGGAGCGCAGGCGGCCGGTCAAAGAGTGATTGGGAGACATGACGTAGCCGCTGGGAGAGTAGCCGCCGAGGCGGGCGTTGTTGTTAAGCTCGACGATGGAGGCGACGGGAGGGATGACGCGAAGGGGGCCGGAATGGGCCGAGGATTCGTCGACGGGGGAGTTGGAGGCGGCGAGGTTGGCGGCAAGGATTGAAGAACGGCGGGAGTCGGAACGCTTCAACTCTCCATGCAAGTCGCGGATGGCGTCCTCGATGGAGCTGGTCATGGACAGGCGCTCGGCTGACTTCTCGAGAGCAGCGACGTTTGTGGTGTAGGCGCCGGAGCGGCAGTTGAGGTCGGGGATAGGGTGTTTAAGGTTCAAGGTGCCCGAGTCGGACGTGGTTCGGACGATTGGTTGGGCGACGGGTCGAACGAGTGTAGATGCCGAGGAGGCGTGGTGCTGTTGCTGTTGCTGCAAACTATCCTGGATCTGGGAGATGAGGCTGCTGTTGGATCGAAGGGACGACGTAGAGATGTGACGGGCGAGAGCAGCAGGGGCTGAGAGGACAGTCGAGGAGGGAGAACAGGCGGCGAAGGAGTTGGAGGTGGTAGAAGTCGAGGTTGCCGGGCTCGTGATGGTGCCAGTTGCAGCAGCAAAGGATCTCGTATTGTGGCCGCTCGTGTTCAGGTTGTCTGCGGTGGTGGTACTGGCCGGGAAAGTATCGATATTTTTCGTACGAAGGGCCAAGGGGGCAGAGGCCACGACTCTGCCCGTGGGCATCGGCTGCTTCTCCTGGATGGCTGCCGCTGGCGCTGGCGCTGGCGCTGGCGCTGACTCTGGCACTGACTGGGGGCCCTGTAGCCGGAGGGACGTGCTGGCGCCATCCCTGACGCTACCGGCAGCCGTGTCCTTATCGGATCCCGTATTCTTATCGTCCCCTACCTTAGGTAAGTTATTCTTATCGGTGCCCGTATCCTTGTCGCATTTCCTCTTTGGGTCGTCGAAGGTGGTCCCTGCAGTGGTTGTCGCTGTAGTGGTAGACGCAGCGGCAGCGGTACTGCACCTGTCCTCCAGCTCCATTTCCATCTCTTCGTCTTCGTACGCCCTGCCCCGTCCCCTTCCCCTGTTCACCTGCATCGGATCTAGCGACAGCGGCGTCGACCCGGCACGGCGCTGGCGCGGGCTCCTAGACGAAATTGCGAATGGCGGCACCTCGTCATCTTCGTACTTTTCGCACTCTTCTTCGTCTTGATCCACAGCATTCCTCACTTCGGCCACCGTGCTGTGACCGTCACCGTCTTCCTTTTGACTTTTCCTCGAGTGCGACCCTGACCGCCGTGGCCGAGACTCTATTTCCGTCGTGTCGCGTGCACCCGAGACATTTCTCTCTTGGTCTGCGTCTGCCGCTGCCACCATTCCTGCCGTTGCCAAAGTCGTCCCCGTCGCCGCGTGCGATGATGTTTCTCCGTGTAAGCTTACTCCTGAATATGCTTCTCTCGACCTCGACCTCGTTCTAGTCTGCTGGGTATGCGCTGCCATTGTTGCTGAAGGTGGTGATGTCGATCTCGATCTCGGCTGGTCGCGGAATTTCGGGCTACTCGTCGTCTTGCGCTCTCCCGCGCTACTGCCACCAAAGCTCAAATCGAATTCGCGATCGGGGAACAGTTCGCTGTCCATAGACAGAGGCGTGAAGCTCTTGTCGGCAAGAGACAAAAAGTTGGCGGGACTGGGCGTTGCTGTGGCGGATACGGACGGCTGCGACGACGAGGATGTGAGGTCTTTTGTGTAATCGTGGTCTGCTTCTGCTCTTGTTTTCATTCTCGTTTTGGTTGTCGTTTCCGTTCCCATGCCGCCTGCTGCTGCGTCTGCGTCGCTGTAGTCTGAGCCCATGGTCGACGTCGAGGACCTGCGCACCGAGGCGTAGGCTGCATGCGCCATTGCGGTATGGTGAAGGAACTCAAAACGAGTTTTGGGCGCAGCAAAAAAAAAAAAAAAAATGTAAAAAAATTTCAGCACGGTAAAACGTCGACTATGTTTACCTGCTTGCGACTTTCTCGGTTCGGTCGAGTCTGGGGTGCAGTTCGTTTGGTGGGCGGTGATAATGGGACGGCGTTTCCGAGTCGCGGTCCCTGCGTGGGCGGTGCACCTTTGTCCAACGCTGTCGTCTGGAGTGTGAAGTGGTTGTTGTCTCTGCTGTTGCGCAACGGTGAATTTTTTTTTAAAAAAATAAAAATATCACTTGGATGCGCCGACGATGGGACGAAGTCGTTGGCGCTTGGGTTCTCGTTACTCCTTGATGTTTGCTCTCTGATGTGTGTGTAGTCTGTGATAGGGCCCTGCTATTGGTGGTATCTGGTGATGCAACAATGTAACTCTTGTGTTTCGTTGCGCAGCGGTGGAATTACTGCTGTTGCTGATGTTGCCTTTCTCCTTCTCGTTTCAATCTGCGAACCTGGTGACAGTGACGTAGCGCGCGAAACATGGAGGATCTGCTGCAAGTGTCGAGGGTTGCTTCGTCCTAGCATCCGGTTCCAAAGAAGTCGGTTCGTCGGGAATGCGCCGTTGTAAGGGCCGCGAGTTTCCAACCCGAGTGTTTCTTTCTTTCGTCGCAGAGTGCTGCTGTGTCGATGGGTGGTGGGTTGAGCGAGGTACCGGTGGCTGCGCCGAGGGGTATAAGCCGAATAAGAGACGAATGAAAAGAAACCAAAAGGATTGTGAAGAAGGCTGGCGAGAATCGAGGCACAGGCGGTGATACCAGAAAGCCAAGATAACGATCGTCCTGCTACGTACGACCTGCGCCTCCTTTGCAAGAGGATTAGAGATGGAGAGAGTGTGTGAGGGTATGTAAGAGAGTGAGGATGAGTGAGAGAGAAAAGAAGATGAGTAAGTTGCAGTGTGAGCTGTAATGCAATGTCCGAGGACGAGTGACGACGATGGGGGACGGATGGGATGGGACGGGACGGATTCGGGGAGGGTGGGAGAGGGTGTGTAGATATTGGGGCCTTTGCTATGGGAGTATTCGTACAGATACAGCTGTGTATTCCCACGAAGAAGATGGACACCACACTTCTCACTCATCACTCACACCCACTGCGGTGAACTGGGGGATGGGGGATGGGGATGGAGAACTCGGAACGGGGGACGGATACAGCAAGGCAAAAGATAGCGCGCGCACGCTCGCCGGGCAGGTTCAAGGGTGGACTTTCTGGGCAGCCGGCAGGATGTTCCCAAGGTCTGGAACCCTCCCCCCAATTCAAGGAACAAGGAACATGGCAGCAAGCAGGAGACGGAGAGGTGTTAGCCAGGTCTAGCAGATCATGGTTCCTCTCGCTCTCCCGTTCCGTCTCTATTTCTCTCTATCTATCTGTCTCTCACTCTTTCATTTGCCTCTCATGCCCTTCTTCACCTGAGATCCCAAGTAGGAAATTTCGATGGACAAGATAGACGCACACGCCCCTCCGTTCAAACTTCAACCCCATGCATGCCCCGAAAGATAAGGTCGAACTGCCTCTGACTTGGCCCTCTTTTTTTTTTATTTAGAGATAATCCTAGGCCACGCCGTGTGACATGATGTACACGTGTAAGGTACTCCGTAAAGTGAGATAGTTTCCGGGGTTGCAAAAGATGGTCGAGAGAGACACGGACGGCTATCTCATCAAACGCACGCGCGCACGTCTGGGGATCAAGCAAACAAATCGACCGAGGGGTGGTTAGACACACTTAACAGCAAGCCCTCCGAGGTTGGAGATACGCACTGATGATGGGACAGCTGGTCAACGGGGCTATTTGCTGGAACAACAAAGCAGCTCCGCCTCCAGCATTTCGGCTCCAGAACCCACCACCGCCTTTTTTTTTTTTTGTCCCTCTATTCATCGTCTGTCTTCAGCTTGGTCCGGTTTGAACAAAGTCCCAGTTCCAGACCGCGTCCAATCCGGATTCAGAACTTGTTCGTGAACACTCTAGTGTATTACTGGCTGCCGGTGAAGGGAAGGGTGTGTGTGTGTGTGTGTGTGTTCCCATTTGGAAATACGAGAAACTCTTGTAATGGGCAAAGTTGGAACCTCAAGTTACGGTAGGTACGTTCAACGACTGCTGTATTTCCCGGTGTAATTTTCCCACACGTTATTTCTTTTCCATGCTTTTTTTTCTAGCTGTCCGCGGGGCCTTGATTTTCTCTGGTCAAATAGCGACGAGCTAGTATGTAAGCGGCCTGTCTTCGATGTGGAGGTCGCGCGGGGTTAGATAGGAGCATGTGCCCGCCGCCCGCCGCCGTCTACTGCAGTAGTAGGCACTGGCTCTGCGCTTGTTCCCCAGAGGAAGCCAATCTTCGAGATAGTCGGACGGTATCAAACAGAGAAACAAAGATGAAAGTCTGCGGGGAGGAACAAAGCAATGGCAAGAAACAACAACAACAACAACACTAGACGACGGCATCTCGCCTGCTAGACCTCTCCCGAATTCTCCCCCAGGTCCCCTTCCCCCCCCCCCCCCCCCCCCCAAAGTTTAAACAAAACGAAAAGCTCGGGCTAAGAGACGTTTGACAGGTGAGCTCCGACAAGGCCACTCCCTGAAGAGGTTCCCCCTCGTGGGCAATGAGAAAAAGCTTCGCGGTCTGGAGGTAAAAGCCGAAGAGGAGAGAGCATATTGAAGCTGACGCATTCTCGTCATCAAAGTCTCCGTGTCTCTAAACTCTACGATCCTTCTGCTTAACCAGAACTTTCTACATGCGCGGGGGGGGTTTGGGTTTTTTTTTCTTTGCTGGATATCGCTGCTGTAGTGACTCCCTTCCGTCGTCGCCGCCGCTTCAGACCACCCATCCTCCGTGTCTCTCGGCGTTGCTTGGGAGCAATCCTTAAAATTGGATACTGCCCCTCGTCTCTCCCGGGTGACGAAGAAAATCATCAGATAAAAAAATAAAAATAAAAACCGCCCGTGTCGCCGAAGAAGAAACGACAAGAGGGTTCTTCCCCGTCAGGGGCACGCAGCAACGAGGCACACGACACGCAGCGCAAACAGGGATATTGCCCTGGGCAGAGCGGCAGAGTACGAAAAAAAAAAAAAAGAAAAAAAAAACCTTGGGTACGGAGGTACACCCCCACCACCACTGAATAGCCCCGTAAGGATGACGATAATGACGATGATGCCGTTCACGGTTCCTGAATCCCTCTTTTCTTTTTCCAAATTATTTTTTTTTGCGGTCCCGCTTGCGCTATTGAAGATGAAAGGTTCAGGGGTTGATGGACGGTTCAAATCTGCCCCATGGCCCCCCATCGCGTTGCCTGGGGAGAAGGGGAGAAGAAGGGCTGTAATTACCTGATCATTGGATTTACTGAACTGAATGGGTTGCTAGACGCGCGGAACATGAGGCGGATACGTATCACTATGAGAAATTTTGTGAAAACAAACTTAGTGAGATGAGATGACAAGAGTCAAGCGAAAAAGGGTTTGAGCTGAATTTTCAGATTATCCAGACAGAGCAATCTTGTACTCTATTGGCCGACGAAGAAGGTCAAATGAAACGATAACGACACCAATCGACGTTGGAAGAGAAGAGAGAAGAAAAATGGGCTTGCGTTTTCGGCACCCTCGATACCGTGGCTGATGAAATCGAAGTGAGCGATGAGTTAGTTGGCTGCCGCCGGGGGTTATGATTGAGCGATTGATTCTAGGTATCCGTACTGTAGTAGTTTGCATGAGATGAGACGCAACGTGACGGACTTATCAGCGAGAAAGAAACAACCCGAGACCGGCGTTAGTTCTGGGAAATTAACCCTCCCAAAGGTTGAAGCGATGCAAAGCCCTCGAGCAAATCATCGACCTTGATCTCATCTTCCTTATCGCCAAAAGAGCCCCCCATGGTCCAAATGGCATGGTCGTAGTGATGATAGCCCCAAGCCCCCCGCGCTCGCGCTTACTTCCTTAGTCCCCGGCCTGCCATCTCATTCCCAAGAAGACCGGCCGGCGCCACATGTCGCTGTCCGGAAACTCTGTTGTTGCCTTTGCTCTTTACGGAGGAGTATCTTGCCAACGGAGTCGAATCTAGGACGGGGGCGGTCTGCGGGCGAGAAGCATGTCTGAACAACGCATGCGGACCCCGTTGGCCCCCAGAGATGGAGATGCCAGGCGGTCAGTCTTCCTTTTCGTCTCTGGGCATTTGAATGTCTCGGCTGTTCAGTTTGGCGTGTGTGCGGTACTATCTGGGCAAGGCAAAAAAGGTCGCAGACTCGCAGGAGAAGCCGAGCCGGCTGGTTCCTCCGGAGCATCATGTTTCCCAGGCCCCCGGAAACCTTGGCCTACATCACGGCAACGAGCATGAAGAGCAAAAGATGGGACGCGGAAGCGCTCCAAAAAAGTCTCGAGTCCCCAAGCGTCCAAGTCCCGGTAGCCGAGAGTTCCCCAAGGAATAGCGGATATATACGCGTTTAATCGGGTCTCACTTACTCATATCTGTCACTCGCTCGTCAACACATCTCCATGATCCATCAAGAGCATCCGCATTTCTTCCTCCGCAGAACCCGAGAGGGCCCCCAAACCCACACATCAACTTCCCGAAACCTCACACGACAGTGACACACCAAAGGAGTGTGTAAGCAAGGATCCAATTCGATGCCTGTGGGAATCGTTCATTTCCCACCTTTCCCGGCTTCCCAAGCACCCAAGTTCCCAGCAAGTGCAGGCAAAGGCAAACCCGACATGAGGGAAAATATCCTCCGGTGCCGAATGCCGAAAAAGCATGGCAAGGGGGGACGAAATAAACGTGCTAAAACTAAGGCAACAGACGCTCAAGTGGGCAAAAGGCACGTCTGAACCGCATACCCGCCCCCGTTCCGTCCGTCTGAGCGTTTTCTAGTCCCATGCCCCGTCTACGCTGGACAATCGTCATCCTGCATTGAAGGTCTCCAGATTATAGGGTACTCGGTAGGGTTTCTTCGTTTCCCATCCTGTTCGAGTTGACAATAGTGACAGTTAGTCCCGAGAAACCATTTACAGTAGCGCCCATGCCGACCTCCCGTTTGCGCCAAATCGTGGCGATATCATATCTCGGCCTTGCTCACCGTAGACAGCTCACCGCAACATCGCGAACTGAGATCTCGATGTCTTTTTTCTCGTATTTGGTTTTTATTCAAACTCTTCCAAACTTAGATAGGGCAGGATATCAAATCGCAGCTAAGTTTCGACGCTGACACTCGGATCCCTTTTCTTTCGCGCTCACCCATGTAAGCCGGACCTAAACGTAACCATAATGGCAACAAAAAACTTGGTCTCGTCTAGACTACCACCCCCCCCCTCGTGATCCAACCATAACCCCCAATACCACCCCTCCGATTCAAGTCGAGATAATCCAACCAGCCAGCCAGCACACCTTTCGGCCCACCCAATGCAGCCACGCAGCCACGATCACGCTGGCACCAGCAGTTCGCAGCCCGTAGTTTCGCAGCGGGGATGGCGTCGTGGCGTCGTGGCGCGGAGGAACCACAACCACCCCAGACGCACGCCGCGTGGCTTTGCGCCTCTCTCTCTCGATTCTTCTCTTCTCTTTCTATGTTTCTCCTCCACAAAGGAACCTCTCCACAAGGACCCAAGAAGGAATGCAGAGAGTGGAACAAATCTTCAAGCCTGCCTAGAGACAGATCAACAGTTGACTAATATAGTCTATCCAATAAGATGTACAGAGAGACAAGCCCCAAGACTCTCTCGATGCTCGGCTCCAGCCACACCCAAGTCCATCATAAGAGATGGCCAAGTTGTGGCCACCCGCGCCGCAGTTCGAGAACCACATCGATTTCGTCGGCCAAGGGACACCAACACCCGCCGGGCCGTATGCTCTCGGCAACGGCACGCTCCCAGCATTGGCAAACAGAGGCCGACGAACCGCAAAGCAACAGTGACCCCACGAGCTAGTCAGAATGCCGTTTGATGTTTTGAACTACTTCCTACAGTATGCCTTTCTGGCTCCGCAGATTTCAACCCCGGGCCCCCGGGGTTCTTGACGTGGCCGAATGCGTCCTTCTCCAGAGTGCTAGATTCGGCACTTCATCTTGTCACCAAGAAACGTCATGTCGCGGTACGTCTCCACGACGCGTAGAGTAGACTTCCGCATTATTGCAATCTAAATATTCCAGTCGATTGGTTGCTGAATGAAAGCACTCCAAATGAAAACCGCAAGTTTTTGAAAAGAAAACCTACCAACTCATACATCAACAACAACAACAACAATAACAACAACAAGACCAACCTCGCACACCGCAAACCCCAGCCCTCGCTCCGTGCCAAATCAAGACCGGGCCCGACCAACCGCTCCCGCCAGTCCGTGCCCTCCGCCACGACGGCCCTCTCTTCACCGGAGGGGAATTCCAATACGGCCCTCCCAAGCTCCTGACATCCCTAGACTCTCTACGTCGTCCTTCTCTCACGACCAGCCGCGTCTGTAAGCGGATCGAGATCGCTAGAGCGTTGCAACGATCCAATTTCACTCACTCACTCACTCGCAGAAAAGACGACATACCATACTGCTTTCAGTGGAAAGTCCACAAGCAGGATACCAAGGCCCGTCGTCTAAACAATGTCCAATTTGATTACCTACACCTCTGAAGTAAGCCTGCAAAACTCTATTTCATCCAAATCAGGACGGGAGAGAGGGAACCTACGAAAAATTAACCTCGAACCTGACTCGCGAAAGATGAAAGTCCAACCGACCCGGCGTCCTGGAAACCTTGAACCCGGAACCAAACCCATTGCCCCGGATTCCTCCCCCAAAGGCTGAACCATTTTTTATTTTATTTTTATTTTTTCCAACGGTGCAGTCTTTCTGTTTGACCAACCCCATTCCGCCGCATGCAGCGTCCGTAAAAATGAAGTGAAAACATTTTATCTTCTTCACAACAACCAACGTAAGCCTCAGGATTCTTTCCAATGACCGCCATCACAACACTGATAGAATAACGCGACGCCAAACGATGGCGACTACATGGAAAGGTCCTAGTCCGTGCGCGCAAGAAAGGATTCAGTAGTGCGATGATATCCGTCGCCCGCAGGGCTACGGAAGGGCCGCCGCAGAGATAAGCGACGGGGGATCGTGGCGGCGGCCGTCGAGACCGAGACCAAGGACGCGGGCGCGCGTTCGCGATTTCGCGCACCCAGAGTCTTTGCCAGATTTCGCTTGTCCCACCTTGCGAGACCTACCTCTCGTTCATCAGACAATCATGAGCTTGTGATAACGCCAGGGGGGGGGTTGAGAGCCTTTCCAGATTCCGATATCATGGGTTCCTCATTTCGTTTCTCTGTCGCGATTCCGAATGGATTAGAACCCACAAGGGCTAAGAAGTGTCTCAAATTTCGCAACCTGATAACGTCCTCTGATTATTTGACAGATAAACTGATAGGACACGCCTCATCATGTACTCCCCGTAAGATGAGACCATGCAGGTCCCGCCCATCTCATCACATTTGACAATCTCGGCAGGCAGTACTCCTACGGCACAGAACCGTAATCGACCAAACGTCACGTCAAATGCACGGCCACGAAATTAAGACGCGGCCCTATCCAGATAGCAACCTTCACTCTGCGTTGAATCCGCGCCGGGGGTTGTGTGGTCCTTGTCTTGTTTCGTTTCGTTCTGTCCCGTCAATGCCTTCCGTAGACCACATGCGCCGTATCATAGGTATCGCGCCTATTCAGAAAAGGAAGAAGAGCGTGTCTCGTGCTTCTCTCTCTCCTCCATGCACCCGTCGGGCCAAGATTTCCAAGTTGTGACCAGGCACAATACTTGACTACGCCGGTGGCTGCAGGAACGGTCATTTGGGCCAACGTCTTTGCATGATGCTTGTCTCATCTGCGCTGCCCGTATCTGTACCGCGTAAGGTAAAATAACCTGCAGTCTGTACTCCGTACCGGCTTGATATGCATGTACGAAGCACATGCAACTCACGTGCAGCTATCTTGCAGCGGCTCATTTCCCGGTCCGTCGTCATCCTTATTAAACGATTTCCTGTCCTTGTCTGCCCTGGTTTGAGTTGTCGGTTGGGCATCTCGCCGGAGCTGATTGTCGCTGGACGAGGACTGCGAGTCGCTGGCCCGCGGCGTCCCGTGTTGCTCCCCCGGCTGTGGTAGCATTTTCTTGGCGACTCTTCCGCCCCGTTGCCTTTAGGTCAACCATCGTGGCATTGCAATGATTAGCCGCTGGCTTACAAAGTCGACTTTACTTTTGTCTCCTACCTTGCCCTGTTTCGGGGATGTTGGAGTCGCGGTAGCATACAGTGAGCTTGCTTTGCCGGTCAAGAGCGTCTCCAAAGTGACTAAGACTTGATAAGTAATGAGAACGAGTGATGGGAGATTGTAGACAAGGCTGATGAGCTGCTCATTGGACTCGGCTGGTTTTCCTTGGTGGAATTCCTAACATGGCAAGACCTAGGAGTAGGCCCCTGAGAAGGAAACCGGTTGAGATCAAGAAAGTGGCGTCGACTACACACACGTATGAGCACACACGAAGAAGACAGCCTTTTAGCAAGCACTCTTTTCATCATCATCTATCATAATACTAGCATCTCACATATTGCAGTCTCCGTTCGGATGTGAAAGTCCTGGTCCCGCCTACCATTCTGGAGCTGATCCTGAACAACAGTCACACCAGGCTGGTCAACCCAAGGGATCTCTCACTCACTATATAGTGACATGACGTCTGATACCAGCTCACCGCACACCCTGACATTGCCTCTTGTGACACAGGTTCGAGGGTTGTAGACGTCGTGCTCGCAACGTTCACACTGATGCTGAGCTGACTACAGTCTGCAGACTTACTTGCCACCTATATCTGGGGGAGACTGCGAACGAGTCAGGACCTCCCTAATGCGAGGTGTGACAATTTACCAATGGTTGACGATTCCTAAGGCTACACCTGCCTTTGAATTAGGACCATGATGTCAGCGTCAGATTGTTACTTATTCAGGGGGAGGAGCATACCGATTCAATCGTCCGAGTTCCGGTGGGCGTACAACTGATCACAACGTTGTTCCGAAGTCTACAATTCTCACAGAGAGTCTACTTTGAGCCTAGACGATTGTTGATATCACCATATATGTCAAAATTGTGGTTTGGGTGTCTTCTTTGGTCGTCTACACAGCAAGTCGGCTCAAAGGTGTGAATTCAGATACTCAATACTAGGGAGCAGCCGAGGAAAACTCTCCAGAGGAGCGACTTAGGCGCATGGATTTGTCGACTGGAACAAGCAGCTCTTTTGGATGCAGGTAGGAGAAATAAACGATATAGATCCCTCACCTCGAGCATCTGGTATGACCTTTCA